GGACACGGATTCCTTCGACAAATTGCCTTCCAGACAAACTTGTGCCAACGCCAGCACCTAGAGCAAAATCTCGCCTCAAGACGTGTATAGCACGCTAGCTTTTCCACAGAATGCATTTCGAAACCATTTGGAACGCACGAATAGTACATACTTCGGGTAAAGATGACTGATCTTCCTTCACTGGTGACATGAGAACGAAAAGATGATGAGCAGGTGCATCGCTAAGCATCTGAAAGATTAATGTGATGAATCCGCTCCCATATAGTGGTCATCTTTAGGTGTACCTGCAGATCATTTGGTGAGTTCTTGTAATGAGCAGCCACATAGATCGCCATGATTTGTTGCAGAAATGCTTCGGACGCCTTGTGAAATGAGAACAAGGCATCTCTGTTAACGATATACCTAAACCAGGGACTCAATTTCATGACAATTCTAGCGCCTAATGTTAGTTTGTCAGTTGCGGAGTTGAGAATGTCCTTCCCACGTTTCTAGAATGGCGTTAGGATAAAAGGATAAAACGAGCGAAGTACTCCCGAACCACATAAGGAACAAAAATCTTTTCCGAAGTTTCACCAAGCGGTAGCTCAAAACGGTTTAACGACGTTCAAACCTTGCGATACTGGAGAAGAGCGGAATGGCAGAACAGGAAAGTCGGAGAGCAGGAGAATGCACTCAGAAGGAAAGGGTGAGCGCACTGTGTCGAATCGGAAGAATCAGAGAAAGCGCTAGTCGGAAGACTGCTCGCCAATGCAGTCGGTGGGAATCGATGAGCCGAGATGAGAAATCCATTCCCCGATTCTCTTACTTCCCCAAAATACTAGGGACAGGCGCCGATCGGCAACCAGCCACTTACGCGGCACAATCTCCCAGAGCATTAATTGGCCAGTTCCCCAGTTCTCCCAAAACGCCCGCACATCCACACTTTCCTTTAATACTTCATTTTTGCAAAACATCGGCTCTCCCATGCCCCTTCGCAAACAAGGACACGGTCCTTCCAGCAAATACTTCAACAAAACAAGAAAACACTTTAAAGACAAAACCTACAGCTCGCATTCGCTCGGTGGAGGAGTACCACATGAAAGGCGTGTGTTAATATTACCCGCATTGAGACACAGCACACGATTCAACCACTGTTCGATCTAGAAAAAGGTAATGGTTTTGAATGAGCGACGAACAATAAGCTAAAAGGGAACTGTTTGGATGAAAAATGCTCACTTCATCACCAGGTTTATATCGTATACTTTCCTCCATCGTAAGTTCATGTAGCTTACGACCTGTAACTTGCTTCGCTTTCATTTACACAGAAGGACTCTTAGAGAAGAAAGAAAAAGAAAAGAAAGCCTCGGAAAAAAAGGAAAATAAAAGCAAGAAGAAACAAAAGAACCTTTGCTTGACGCTAATTTCTCCCCTTTGACGCTTCCAGCCGCCTGTTGGCGGAGTTGTTGGAGCAATTTCAACGACAGACTTCTTCCCGTCCCCTCATAGCCGTTTATCGTCGAGGCAAGGAAAACGATATAAGGACCTGGAATTTGTGAGACTGAATGCCATTTAGTGACTAACACCTACAACAAAACTTTGGCGACTTATCCATGATTCTTGCTAATTTTGTATAAAAGGTTTAACAGTGTATCATGTGATCAGAAATAAATACTAACCAAAAATTAATTCCTTCACTAACGGGAGAGGTATCGCCGCAGCTTCATCTACGACTACTAGTTCAGCTTGACCCAATTTGGAAGCATCAGAAGGGTGTATGTACTGGAAAACAAAATAAAATCAAAAGAACAGGAAGAACAGAATAATGAAAAAAGGGACTTTATAGGCAGGCTATAGGGATTCTATAAACCAAATTCTCGGATTACGGATAAACATTAATAAACCTTACAGGGAATAAAAAGACCGCTGCAAACGGAAACCTTCTATTGAACGGGTACGACCAGTAATTTCAAGTTCCGAATCACTGAACTAACTTGGATTGTTTGCCTGTGTTCTCTGAAAACGTTAACTCGCACAAGAGCCTTTTGAAACTCAGGATTCGTAGATTGGATCAGTTCATAATCGATATGTTCCTGAAAAAAAGGAAATACGATACCAAAGTCTCCTCTTGTGATCTACTTTTTAGAAAGTGGAAGAGCTACAACACACAATCCTGGTTCGCATACGTGTAAGCCTTCTATAACAAACTCGAAATAGAGTTGCGAAGATTCTCCAGAGAAGGAGACGTGACAAAAATAGTTCCTCGAGTAACCGAGAAAGCAACAGCTTCTGCCAAGTCGCACAGCGCTGAACCATCGAATTCTCAAGGGAATTTTAAATCAAAAGACCAAAAAACGCCAAAATGATTTCAAGAGCATTTGCGCGCTTACGAGAGCATATAGATCATCTTGTAGTCGGACTTAGTGAACGTAAAAATAGCACAGCGAAACTGCCGATAACAAATAATTTTGAATCGAGGTATTTCTATTGAAAGTAGTACCTAGAGAAGCTGATTTCCCACGACCTCTTGCGGCTGTAATTGAGCAAGTAACATTGAGATCCTTTGTCAGTAATCCACGTCGGAGTCAGCCTATACGTCGATTTTCAGTACAGCACTCCCAACCTCTAGAACTTTTTAAGCTACCTGAGTAGAGCTTTTCCTTGACAAGCTGTTCGGCATTTGTTGAGGAGCGGACCCAACTGGCTCATAGTGGTCTTCAACATGGTGATCAAGTCTTGAGACCGTCTTTGAGAGTTCTGCTTCTGACGGTGAAACCGCATTCTATAAAATGATAGCTCAAGTAATGCCAACCTGCACGAGCTTTTTAATCAATGTCAGACTCTTGAGCCTCTGCTCACTTCACGGCAAGGGTACGTGCCGTATGTTGTATCGTATATTTCGAACAAGAATTGGTAGCACCAGTAATGGTTACCAGAACTGAAGGAGGTTGTCCAAGTTTGTTGAGGCGATAGGAAGTGACAAATATTATTAAAAAAGTGATGCATAATAGTCGACAAATGAAATCGCGTCAATACGCACTTCATCCACTAGTTCATGGCTCACACTAGTGGATGACTGCGCTATTGAAGGCATTTCATTTGTCGCTAGTCATATCCACTAGTCACTACGCAAGCACAACCCAAGAAATCAAGTTTCAACAACAACATCCCTTTTTACTCGTGCATACCATAACGACCAACTGGCTAGTGAAACAGAGTAACCTTGCCGGACGTCCGCTGCTGAGCGCAATGGGAGCGACCCGAGCAAGCGTCCGACTATCCGGTAGCGACCACGTCAAGCAGGGTATTTTAGCAGCTGCGTAGCGTCGCACGAAATGCCACTCTCAGGAAAGGGGAGTTATGCATCGTCCTGTTGCACATACCAGAGCCCAAAAAGATCCTTCTACAAACTGGGAAAGGCTACATAGACTCTACCCAGCCAGATATGCTAAAGCACTTCAATTACTCTTTCGCACCCAGATTCATTTCTCTTGAATAATGTGAAGACCCATTATTTGAGGAGCGCCCTTACCGAAGCGCACTTGAAATGGTATTATAGAAGCCTAACACTGCGCAATCTCAGACTTTCTTGCTTCATGTTTTGCTGCGGATATCGGACGTGTCAGTAAGGTGGGATTGGCGCAGCGCCAGCCCGTTCACCACCAATTGTCAAAGCGAGCAGGCGACCACAACTGGTGGAAAAGTGGCTGATGCCATGGACAATCCAACCACCTGTGAGATGTCCCAGCTTAGCAATGAACAAGACTGTACTGCGGCCCTTATGCACGAAGTGAAGTCCGCGAAAGAGAGGCCGACGAGAAAAAAAAACGTAACGGGTAAAGTTGCGTCAAGAATCCGCACTGCCTTCGACAAGGCTATTGGCGGGCCAAAGAGATTTAGAAACGGGGGAAAGAGAAATTCCGTGAGGACACTCTGTGAGTTCTGAAAGGAAAAATAGCCATGTAGAAAACAAACCTTGGGACGCGGCTCAGGGGAAATGTATAAGAAAAAATAGAAAAAAGCTTCCAAAACTATATTCAAGAGCTTAAAAAATTACCTTTGCAGACGCTTGTATTGGCTCCAGTGTGGTAATATGACTAGAAATGGGAAGAATATTGAGTTGATCGTCGACAACGACTATATCCTTACAGCTAGCTAAACGACAGAATAAACTGCGTCGGTTGAATCGAAGCAATCAATTTCTGTGTGCGACTCGTCGGTAGCGATTATGCACATCCTGAAAACGTATTTTTAGCGGGAATGGGTGTTCTATTCCGTCATCCACCACGTCATTGGGAGGACGACCTCAACCCTCACTGATAAACTTATTAATAAACCCGAGGCATTTTCTAGAACCAGTGGTAACCCGAAAATGTATGTGATGCGCGAAAGTGATGCTGCTTTTACAACTTGCGATTTGGACAAGAGGAATATGTGCGGGTGATTGAGTCCGATTGACTAGCGCTAAAAAACCGAGAATGGTTCAGATAGATTTGCCATTTGGCGATAATGACTGAAACACTCTTGGCTTATGATAAAAGACAGCATTAGGAAGAATGGCAATAATAGGGGAGGTTCAGCGCCCATAACGATCTTCAGGAGATTTGTAAGACATCTCCCTCGATACAATAAAAGAATGTTGTAGTGTTCCGGACCCTCAAGAAAAAAAAAACAATTCTATCCTCTTTGCGTCATTCGGCAGAGGTAGCGAAAAGGGATAATCGAGCGATTATGGGTGTGGACTAATGTCCTCTTCCTGGCGGACTGCGTGTTCAATGCCTACAGGGTGCAAAGAGCATTCTCTCAGAAACTGCAAAAATGATGACAGTATTAGAGATAGCCCTTGTTTGGCAGGCCGGCTGAAAAAGAACCGGATCGCGACTAACATGGGTGAAGCTCACAACAGGATCTCTCAAAATCTACATAGTATTGCTTTACTAACCATTGCGATTGTGTACAGTTGCCGCAGTGAGTTCACAGTCTTCATCAGTAACACAATGATACCACCACCCTCAATAGTTTCGATTGTTCGTGCCAATAGATTCGGAGTGAGGGCCTCGAAATCCTTGAAAAGTCGATTTCGAGCTTGCCACCAGACAGACAATTCTGATAAACTAGTTAAGTTAATGCCAACAAACCTGCAATACAAGCATTCCGTAGGTGTTACCCAGTATGTTCTGCGTTTCATTGTAATAGCAATAACGAATTTTCGTCATTGAAATGAATACTTCGAATGGATCGCCTTCCTAAAAATAGCAACTATAAAAGTGTACCTCTAAAATCTGCAGTTACATAGCACCAAATGCGATTCCAGTGAGCAACACGCAAGGGGGTTTTGCGGAAGTTCTAAGGATCTAGCACATTCCCTCACACTGAACACGATACTGGGGTTATCTCAAGAAAAAAGAGATAAGGTAGGGGTGTATGCCTTAGCCAGAACTTATACCTTATCATCACGCCTCTCATGTAGGTTTGTGGGAAGAATAACTTCTTTCAAGAGAGTTCTGGCTAAGCAAAGCATTTCTTACACAAATCATCATCTTTGTAAAGACTTTTGCACAGCAAACTACTGCGATACGAACTACTTTGGCTGCTGCATTTCCAGCAGCCAAAGAACTCGCAATGCTGGACATTAAAAGATAGCAATGGCAAAGAGGATTACCGAAATCGTGCTGACGGAAGATTTCAGGTGGATTTGGCGTATTCGCTTTTTCTTGTTAGAACTGTATCCAAGCTCTTTCTTGTAGCACCACAAAACCGTCGGTCTAGCCGCCACAGCTGCTTTTGATAGAATATGATGAAGAACAGGGATCTGAAGTGAATAAGAAAGTTTAGACACTGGTGGACACATCTAATACATTAATGGGAAACAATAAACTGGTTTTTTTTTCTAAATTTCGGTATTTGGAGGGAATAAAACTTCAAAATGGTGCTAACCAGTGGCATCCTCAGACCTAAAGTGTACTACTAGTTAAATGAATTTCATGATTTTTTGAATATTATGACATCTCCTAAGGTTAAGTGTTAGTTACGCTACTTATGCGTCAGATTCTCGGACGTGCACCTAGCAATGTTCCTCGTGTTCAGCGGCATTAGCCTGACACAGTGAGCTGCCCATTTCAGACTGCCCATTATGATTATGGCATTCATATTCAATGCCAGCGCAAGCGTATGACAATTTGGTCGTCTCTGGGGAAGAGGACCAGGATTCCCGAACTGAGCCTTAGCAGAGCGTCCAGTCTAGCGCTGGCGACGGAAAGGTGAATGCAATGTTTGTGATCACAAGCCCTCACTAGCCCCAAACGCAAGTCTGTCATGACAGTAGGCGACGACACTACTGCGATCAGGGCACAGCATCGCGATGTGTGAAGTGGTGGTGTCAGAACCACCCCTCCGAAGTAGGGTCTTGGTACGACCCCCCCCCCCTCTTCCTCAACACCTACCTACCAATTTCCCACATTTTCCAGTTGTTCACCCAAACATTTTCCGTAAAGCGGGTGGGGGCATATAGTTCACATGAAAGGAGAGATCACAAAAGTCAACAACGGGACAACCAGGAAAAAATTTTCCCAACGCGGCAAATTCCTCTTGAAGCCAAAAACGACCCCCCCCCCCTCCTGATCCCCTTGTGTGTTTCGCACAACGATGCTGTGCTCTGATTACGATGCTAAATGGCGTTAACGCTGAAAGCAAATGCTATGTTTGTGATCAGCATACAAAAATAGTCCAAGCATGCAAACTTGCGAATTCTGGTGAAGAAGTGGTAGTGGTGCAAAACTGGCTCTGACCAACATTGCACCAAATTGCAAGAGTGATTTCAATATTCATAATCGGGATATCAAATAACCCACTTGGCGAGGTCATTCCGGTTTCAACAGAAAAGGTTGTGGAGCAAAACTGGCGCTAAATGGGGCCGGCTACAAAACTAAATGGCATAGTTGTGATCAGGGCCTCGGGTAACCCCTACACTCAAAGTTCCAGCAAAAAAGGAGCTTTCGGGGTTGTGATCGTTCAACAGCGCCAAATTTCTAGAGACAACCAAGAAAGAAGAAAAGGGAAATAAAATCGAAAAAAGAGACGAAGAAAGGAGCGGATGTACCTGATCCCTTCCTTTGTCACCGACAATGGCGAACATGCTTCGGTGACCTTTTGCGACACCATTTTCGATAAGAATTCGTATCCGATTATCAATTTTGGTGCGCATTTTTTACCTGAGAAAAGGTATCAAAGGCTGGGTTCATGTTTTCATGTTTTGAGCACTTCGAGCTTACGCCAGCGTTTTGGGCTTTTCAGCGGGTAGTTTTGAGCCTTTTTTTGCGGGTAGTCGCTGAAAGCGCTGGCGTATCCTCAAACGCGACCGTTATCTATACTTTTTAGGTCGCTCAAAATGCAGAAGTAGGCTCGAAATGCTCAAAACACTGGGGTACGCTCAAAACGTTGACCAAAGTATGAACGCAGCCAAACAGGGGGACGAACAATTAGGCCGCGTTCACACTTGCGGAAGAGAAAAATTGACAAATTCACGAGTTGTGGGACTGGAGCACGAAGAAACTGAGAGGAGTAATGCATCGACAGTCGAAGAACGGGCGAACTAATACTTGAAAAACTGACGGATGTGCGGGAATAGATCGATATACTCGAAATCCCTGAGATCGGGTAGGCGTGGCTGCATGCTTCAACTTAACCTGAAGGTGTCTATGCTTCTGGTGAGATATTTTCATCTTGACACAATTGTTGTCGTGTCTCTGTCCAACACAGAACAAGATGACAGTTGTCCCAGACTGGAATATTCCACGAGTAACCAATTCCGTGCCATGTTCAAATGCCACGCCTACTCTGGCTCAGGGATAAGGAGTGTACATAACCGTTGTTTTCTGTTATTTCTCCGGCTCTGAAAGTCTCAGAGTTTGCCGATCCTTCAAAGTGGACGAATCTACGCTGTTGCAAAGTATGAGCGCGGAAGCTTCAAAAAAAGCAGAGAAATGTAAAATGAGGAGTAACTGCCAAGCGCAAACAAAGAACTTTATTCATGAAAAATCAAGTCTTTCACTGAAAACGACCTTCTCTCGGCACTACATAAAGTAAAATTGCTAGCTTTGCTTTCAGAGAGAAATCTTTGAGGTTGCAGCAGGTGTACGAGAGTTTTTGCTCAAAATTATGTCAGGCGGCGATGCGATGTCGCACGCGACGAGGAGGCACGGACATCGTGATGAGATCTTGGTGGGTGCACGCGTACGCTTTGAACCAAGATCCGTTGAACTTTTCCTTTTGTCTTTAGAAGCGAAAAAAACATCGCAAGCCATTTTGTTCTCTATCAACTTGTTGTCGGCATTCTTGTTAAGCATTACATCATCTTGCTCGCTTGTGATTTCGACTTTGGCATTATTTCGAAAGGACTTCTTCGTTAAATTCCCTTCACTGGTAGTTTTTATTTTTATGTGACTTGAAAAATTCAAGAAAATTTCTATAAGAAGGACCAGACTTCATATCATTGGACTTGAAGAGTAAAAGGTTTCCGCCTTTCTTTCTCGAACGCATATAGAAGCTCTTCTTATTTCTTGAGTTTCTTCGAACGGCTTACGTGAAAGGTGAATCGGAACTTCTCTTTTATCTGTTTCTTTACCCCTCCCCCCTCTCCTCTTGCACAAAATCCACTGCTTCGACCACGCGTCACTCTTATTTTTAAATCTTAGCGATGATCAAACCGAAATAGTTTTCATTTATTAAGAAACTCCAAAGTTTTTTTATTGTTGAGCTGCACTCATAAACCACTAATCTCTTATCAGGGAAATATAGTTCAACATCCATCGATACATTTAGCAGTGCGACTAGCCCTCTTTCACAGCTTATTTCGAGGTCTTTTTGTGAAAAAAACTGGCAATAAAAAAAACGTTGGCTGCCAAGGCTCTCCTAATCATGGTCATAGGAGACCAACCTTTGTCTGCTTATCCTTCATCCTTCGCGTCAGTCAAGGCGCAAACAATACTCATTCGTTTAATTTTGAATTTAATATAGCATCGGGGAACCAGCTGTACTACTGGCGCCCATAGCCAGATACTGAACATTAAACAACGACCAGTGTAAAGGATTTTACAGCCTGCGAAGATATCTCAAGAAAAAGTCCACAACATACACAGAACTGCATGGAACTCAGTATTTTTCCTACAATGACGAATTAGCACACGTGTGTGACCGTGTCGTGTGTAGAAACAACGAGATGTAGTTCTAAGAAGCACTAAATGACTCCTACTTTTAAATACACGAATAGAGTTTTTTACCGCATAGGAAACATTTCGCGATGTTTGAACCTAGTCGTACACATAAAGTCGAAGGTAAACTGTCCGGGACTGTTTCATGAAATAGACGTCACGTGCAGTGTGGTTGTTGCATCACAGAAGAGGCATGGAATAATTCGACGTTAGTCGTCGTATATGGAGCGAGTCTGGATGAGATTGGACAGAGGCTGCCACGGTGCAGAGGGTGTTTCTCATCGCATTTACTTGCCGAGTAGTCGAACGGAGAGTAAATAAGGAGGGTACAGAGAGGGAAGGAAGGAAAAGAGGGATGGAGGAAGAAAAAAGAAAGAGAAGAGAAGCTCCTTGGTTCACAAGTTTCCTGAGACACAAGCCAGAACATAGCACATAGGCGTAAGCGATTCGGAACGCAGAAGAGGGGGGGGGGATTTATGGCTTAGATTCTCGAAAACACCGAGGAAGTAACAAGAGAAAAAACTTTGTGGCATGCAATACGCTGGGATACCCAACGTCCCACTGTAGGACATGTCCTGACGAGGGTAATACTAGGTTACTTGAACAAGAAGGTTAGCAGCATTGCGGATTTTTTTAAAGAGAGGTTGTGAGCTGAGGCGAAAGGGATTTTTGCCCAATGGTAAGCCTGAATAGGGAAGGAGCTGATAACCTGATGCTAAAGGAGGCTTTCGCGTTACGGTTGTTTCAGTTTTAGAAAGCTAGTCCTTTAAATGCTCTGTGCCATTGATAAGATACTGGATTTTTGTCTTGAGATTTTTTTTCGGTTTTTTCTCGATGCTAGCTTTTTTCAGCATGCAATGTTGCGAGGGTCAAGACATTTTCTAGGATAATCATGTAATACTTCGTAAAGAAAATCACATCACTCGCTCCTCTACTTGCACTCCGTTCTGGCAAAGCTAGGGCTTGTCAAGAGGCTGGATTTGGTGCTCAGCTCATTCTCCAATAGCGGGAGCGAGAAAGCGAAAACTCGATGGAAAACGGCTGGTGTCGTGCCAGCATTCGTCCCTCTGTATCACGCCCAGCGTCTGCAGCGAAAACGCCTGATGGTTAAATAGAAGGTTCTTTTTTACCTGGTAGTGAAGCGGATATGCCACCAATAACGTACTGTGCACTCGAATTGAGGCTTGACACAAGGCGTTGACATTTTTTTGTGGCAAGGAGGCCTCCATGAGGGGGGGGAGGTAATTCAGGCCTGTCTAGCGTCTAGTTTTGACGCTATTTTCATAAGGGCTAAAGAGCGCGTTCAATTTCACGATTTGTAGTCAAACATCTGCAGGGAGGGAATGAATGAATGAGTGAATGGAATTTTTCCTTAGTGCTGTAATAACACTAGGCGATCCAGCAGTCCTTGTCGCCACCTAGGAGCGAAATTATATTCCTGAAGGGGAAGCTGGTTATGGTACTGCTTAAAGAGTCGTTCCGCAATAGCTGAAATTAACCACCACTGCGTGCTCCTCCCTTATTGTAGCCCCCCATCTTGGACCTTGTCAAAAGGAGGACACAAAGATTGTGAGTCTCCGCCCATATCTCCTTTTCCACCGCGGAATAAGGGGCTATGTAAACGTGTATCTATTTTTCTTCTGTGAACACCATTTCATTTGAGGTAATGCCTGTAGCGTACTAATCAAGAGATACTGCGATCATTCTTCTCTTTTCTGGAAATCACTATAATTACACTAATAGCTGTGACCAAATAACCGTATACTGGTACATCTGACCGGAATATTTACACAATCACGCAGTAGGTAGCACGGAGTTGCGGCTTATTCAGGGAAATGGGTATCTTGTTCTGGGGAGGGGGTGCTCGCAATCATCATGTCACCTTGTCTGTGTGCTCCACGGCTGTCTTCTAAAAGATACCAAAAACAATTAATAACGGCAGACTGGTGGTTATAGTACGTCTTCTACAGCTGCTCTGCGTGAATATTTATGTTGAAAGGCAGTTGGCAGCGATAATTTGTACTTATACTTATACTTTAATTCTTTATCGCACAGACACAAGTAGAGTGTTTTTGATCATTTGTGCGAAGATTCTCGAGAAACCGGCAGCGGTGAATAATGTCGTCCATCTTCTAGTCATGTCTCTGGTCCTTGCACCAGTATAACGAGCGAAGTCGTCCAGCCATCTTGATCTGGGACGTCCGAGACCTCTTTTCCTTGTGGTATCCAGTCAGTTGCCGCTCGAGCCCAGGAGTCTTGAGGGGACCTTCTTGAGAGACGCGCAGCGTAGATTCGTTCAGAATGAAAGAAACAATCGCTGTGTTGATTCAACGATGACGGTACATAAAATCCTACACCTCTTTTGGTTCGTTCCTCAGTACCACTATGATATAAAGAGTACCCACTTGAGAGGTCTATTCTTCCTTTGCCAGCCATTCGTGTCTCCGAGACTCCAATGACATCGAACTTGACATTCTCGACCGCGGCTTCGAAGTCGGCAAGTCTTGCCGCGGTGGCAATGGAACGGACATTCATGGTGCAAATGCGAAGCCGGTCCTGTCTTTTTGGCCATGCCAAAAATTTGGTACTTGATCTACTAAAATGCTAGCTGGGCATTGTACAGTGGAAAATGCCGAAAGAACCAAAACCTTCGATCTTATTACTCCAAAAGCAATTTCGGACGAGTTTCCCGTAGGCATCTTGCCAATAACTTGCTACGGTTGATACGGCTGCATGCACTTGCTGATATATCCATGCAGCACCGCGGCCGCTTCATACCAATTCCTTCGCTTCATATTTTACTTCACAATTGAAACAAAAATAAAACAATACGAGTATCAGGTACGGTCGTCTGTTTGTGGGCGGGCGAGCGCAGTGGGCGTCGGGTCGGTATATTGCAGCTTGATAGGGCCTTATAAGGGTGCCTTCCTTGAAAAAAGGCGCTGCGCAGCGCCCTGCCCTTCAAGGGGTCCCCCCGCCTGGGGAGTTCCTGTCC